GCGTCATTTTCCGAGTTATGGTTTCCTAGAGGACGTTGTCCTCAAACAATTTCAAGGCTAGTATTTCCCGCTCATTCATTAGTCGTATTGATGAGCCTAAAAATATTCCCCTTTTCTTTAATTCGCTGAGTTTGGGAAACGTTTCTACCACATATATAAATCCACTGTCATAATACAAATTCTTTATTGGCATAGACATCGCTTAAGCGGGTTAGCCGAGTTTACGGCAGTGCGGCAGTCGTTCTCCGCTGTTTGCAAGAAATTGGAGATTCCAAGTGTAGCCAGGTCCTTCTCCATCTGATATTTCCTACGGAGTGGAGGCCTTCCTCTTCCTATGCTTCCTCCAGCGGGTACTACGGCGAATAGTGTCAAACCTGCAACATGACCCAGTCAGGATAACTGCTGTCTCTTAATTCGTCGAACTATATAAATGTCGTCGAATATCTCGTACAGCTCATTGTTCTATCGTCTGCGGTATTTGCCGTTGCCAATGCGCAGAGGACCATAAATTTCTGCAGAACCTTTCTCTCGAAAACTCGTGTCATCGTCCATGCCTCTGCACCATATAGCAGGATGAGGATGATGGGCGACTTTGTTCAGCGAGAGTACTATACTCCTCGATTGCCTACTCAGTCCCAAGTAGCACCTGTTGACAAGAGTTATTCTTCGTTGGACTTCGAGGCTGACATTGTTGTTGCTTGCTAGTTGAAACATAGACGAAATTATCTATGACCTCGAAGTTATATCTGTGGCTTTAATCCAGGAGCTTAGTCACGAGTACGAAAATTGTTTGTTTGATGAAAGGAGATATTTCGTCTTGGGCTCGTTAAYTACTAGACCCATTTGTGCATGTCATCAGGGTCACTTAATCATCATTTTTAATATTTTTATAGCCCACATTATATTCTGTCCCTACTCTACGATTCGCAAATGAAACAACAAAACTTGTCAAAGTAAGCTGTAGTCCAAGCAAAAGTGCAATGACTTTTAATCGGAACAAGTCTTCTAATCGTGTTAAAGATGCTTAAGTTATTTCTAACAAATATTTCGGTGTCATTAGAATACTTCCGTTGCATGTTTACGATGTAACAATCGTACCTACATATGATGCAAGATAGTCGAATGTAATAATTATAGTGTCGTTACTTAAGAAAAAAGAGATACATATGTATATGGGGTCAGAAATGAATATGTAGCTGACACAAAAAATGGACAATATCGAAAATTAACAGAATTATCATATTTTGTTAAAGAGGATATACCAACATAAATAAAAATCAGCACTCAATTACTAGTGTTATAATTTTTATGYCTAAAATTTAGTATATTTGCATTACTAATATACCAAATCGAAAAGAGTGGTAGATAAGTCTCACTTTTTACATTGCTGTGTCACCCGACGGAGATTTTATATAACTGACATTACATTCACTCTTCACAAATGAATTATCGCACTTTTAGTAGTTTTCAACATTTCTCTCATTTTCAGTGTGTAAAAAATAAYAAATATTTGGTAATGTGTGTTAATTTACGTAAATTAAGAAAACTTTATTGTCAATGCTTATCTGTTTTGGTTGGACTTTAAAGTATTCCTTACTCCAATTAAAAAGTGGTTTTTATTACATAATGGTAGTGCAGCATCAGTTCATCCYCGCTTTTAAAGTTCACTTCGTTTGTTCTTTTTTTTCAATTGTGACATCAAAAATTCGTTTTAAGGAGAAAAAGAAAGCTTAGAAAATTAGATAAAAATGATTTCTCAAAATATCACAACGGTATATATAGTGCTTACTTTCACATATTTCAATTCTTTACGAATTTGAATAAAATGTTTATTTTCTCTTCTATTCTTGTAAGCAGATTTTGTATATAATGGTACATTGCACGTACATATGTTAATGTTTTCCGCATTGTTTTCTCGCGATTCATATGTTTTTACATAACCAATTCTTCGTTGTATTTAGAACCACACAAACCTCTCTAGAACCGAATTTGTCACCAAAAACGTCAAAACAAATTCGGATCTACAGGGTGGATGTAGAACATAATCTTGTCACTGAAAGCATTACTTTGTATTTATAGTCAATGCAACTTACTGTGGTTTTGTTCCAGATTTCCCATCACTKTTAACCTACACATGTATGTACGTATGTGGTTGGCTTGGATTCTGTAATTAGAACTAAAAAGTGAATACTTACTCGATTATTAATGAACTTGTTCATTTGTTTTGGTTATATAAATATATTGTTAAAGTTCACTCACTTCTGTAATTACTTATAATCGAAAGTAAAAAAATAGTTTCACCAGTTAGTTTCACCAATAGTTGCGCCAGTAATATGCGCTTTAGGCGGCCTTGATAGATTATACACATCACCAAACCCTTCGAGAGGCTTACTATTGCTCACATTATTACGATTCTGACCTATGGAAATTGCTATGAAATACTGAATATTATATACAAGAATTAACAAAATTAACTTCGCAACACACAAAATATTTTTGTTTCGCTTGCATTAAAGAATTAAACCAAAAATGAATCTTGGCCCTTTCTCACCAGAGACAATTTACCCACAGCCCACGCAGCAAGCATTGGTGTTCTCTAACCGACCACGATCCAGTATCGACTGAGTAATATGTGGAACTATGTAATCATGGAAGGCTTTATAGATAATGATTCGAATGTCGAAAATTCCGATTAAAATTGTTTGTCCAAGAGTTCAATGCAAATTCCTCTGTCTTTAAAACAAATCAGAAAAGGTTGCAGTGTTGAGTTTTTGCTATTGTTTTGTCATATCTATGAAATTAGATGGGTGTCTTTGCCTCGAAGACGTATGAGTGTGCCGATAAGATATTAAAATGGAGTACCACATATTTATACATGTACATACAAATGCACAAATGTGTGCATATCGTCTTAAATAAATACAAATTCGGCTAAACATTCCGAAAAAGTTGGAAATGTCATCACTCACAAAGAAATATGCCGAATTGAATACAAGTAATATGTACTGTACAATTCATTTTATTTATCTTTGATTACATTTGTGGATTAAAAGGTGTCGCCTCTTGGAAACAGTTTTTGTTTGTTTTTCACATTGCTATCATAACCAACTTAACCCTCTAATGCCAGTAGAGTTACTTTACACATACTCATGCAGCAAAACAAAATAAAAGCGCACAGAGTAAGAAATATGGTATATGTAGGTATGTGGATGTATTCAATTATTGGCACAAATTGTGATATGGTACGAGTATAAACTAACTATTGAACGCTCACACCTCGTGCGTTAGCTGGCCTACTGCCTCTGTTACCAACCTCGAATGAGTAATTAGGTCTCGTTAGAACTTCATTGTACGTGTGTGTTTATTTAAAATATTATCATCAATCAATCTCCTCCTTAAATGGCGTCGTGAGTAAGGTGTAATACACAAATTCAAATATATATAATTGTTTCAATGACAAAACCAAAAAGTTGGCGCCGATCGTATTTCCTTTTACTTATTGTAACAGAGTACAGAAGGAGCTGCTTCGAAGTTAATGCAATATATTGCATAGTTGTATTTATTCCATTTTCACCTTGTTATCAATCTGCAAAAGACTTAAAACCACAGTCGTCACAGGTRGTACTGAGTTCAAAGTTATACATTTATCTTGAATTGAATTGTTGGTTTTTTAATGACARTGTTCCTCTTTTACTTCGAAACCACAGGAGTTATCAGTCAAACTCATACCTATATTGTCATTACTTTAAAATCGTATGGTTGATTGGTTATTTAGAAATTTTTTGTTCTATATATTCATTTTATTGATCAAARGGGTAAGCTTTGACCTTTTTCCCTCGATTAAATCAAATATCTAATATTACAATATAATAACTTTAATATTTAATTCAATTAACTTGATAATGCCTTCTAATTTCAATAATAGTCTTAATATTTTACCTTCTAAGGTCTAAAGAGTGGCCGCAGCTGCTACTAAATAATATAAAATATAATGAAAACTTTGCAGACTTGTGTTGAACCCATTTGAAAAATAATTGACAAATATATATAATACTTTGTGTAATGTTGACGAAATAAAAGTAATTATAGACGGAAAAATAATTTCAGATGTTGGCAAAACTTTATATTAAACAAGTAAGGAATGCTAAGTTCGGCAGTAACAGAACGTTTAATACTTTCGCAAAGTAAAGTGATATATGAGAATTTCGTATATGCTTAAATTAAAATTACGAAGTTYTGCATTAATTATTTGCAATCATGAGCAAAAAGATACAAAGATATTCTTTCTAATTTTCATTGAGATTTCGTGCATAATGACTGAGAGAATTAAACCGGTAGTTCGGAAACATATTGGGTATATGGAGGCTAAAGAAGGCTCAAGGGCATGCTATCATCCCAAGAAAATGCTCCCGAAATTTCAAAACTAGTATTCACAGCTTGGCTGATATGTTCGATTAAAAATCAGCTAAATCTAGGGTCTAGATATTTGGTGTTTGGGTCCTTGAAAAGTTGTAGAAGTGCAAAGCTACATCCCGATATATTCAACTGGAAGGGAAGGAATCAAATGGTATACTATGGAAATAAGATTTCATCTAAAGGTGGTTGGTGCAATTCCCACCTTCCAAATTTTACACTTGCTCCTATAAAGGTCTTCCCTTTCATCATGGTTGTGAAATTTAATGCTTCTGGCACATTTATTCATTGAGTTATCGCACTTTTAGCAGTTTTCAACATACCGTTATATGGGGAGTTAAGGAAGGGAGTGTTAGGGGTGTAGCCAGGGTCACTTTTCAACTTTTCCTTATCCTAATAAGCAGTTTTTTTTTTATTGCAAGTGTTAAAATGGTYGGATATGCTTAAGCCCATCTGCACAAGATTCACAATTCAATTCAAGATACAGGAGTAAGAATACCAGACAGTATTATACTCTGTAGCAATATGTTGCGAGAGTGTAATTATAATAATAGAAGTGTCATATAAAATGTATCTTTTGAGGGTATATTTATACATGTTTAAAATAAACAATTTTTGAAATAAAATATTAAATATTTTCGGAATGACAAGCGATCTCCGGCGGCGCCAAAAAAAAGGCCCTCCACTGCTCCCATGATTGCAGCCTTCTCTGTTGATAAAACCTAAAAAAAAAWTCTCGTTAAACTAAAACATATTATCTGTTCCATGACCTTCGGGCTAATAGAAAAAACTAAAAATTTACAAAATGGCGGCGTTTTGAAAAAAAGTTAAATTTCACCTAAAATTATGGTTGTTTTTGGCCTGCCAAAATTTGATTAGATCATAAAACTGGAGGGTCATCGTATGGAGAACTATATAGAGAATATGCAAAAAAAATTAATAGCGATCGGATCATATGTCTCCGAGTAATTACTTCAGCAAATTCGAAATTGAAATCATTAACAAGATTATTAAATAAGACTATTTAACTGCTATGAAAAAACGTTACTTTAGACAAAAATCAAGGTAGAAAACAAAGAAGTTAAAAAAAAAAATATTCCAAAGTGATATTCAATATTTGCCTGATATATAACGTTTATTTCCATCTTCAATAATTGTTTTCTTTAATTTTTTTGTCAATATCGAGTAATTACCTTCGTATGGAATTGTGAATACAAAACCATGTATGTATGTCTTCTCGCCAATGTTTAAAGATATGATTGTCAACGCTAAATAATTATGCTGACTAATGTCCCGACTATGAAGGCATAAAGGGCTATTTCTTAGTATTTCTACGGTCTCTGTTACAAAGCCACCCGTTGCCAATGGTTCGGTTCCGATGAAAGCGATCTGAGCGCACATGCTTGGTTCGGCTGATGGCAACTTCTCCTTTAGAAATAAAATCGAAACAGCAAAAACTAAATGCATACATAGAGAAAGTAAATTCCAAACAAAAACTTAATATAACCGTCTATATCAAATTGTTCGACATACTTGTATGAAACAAATCATTACGACATGCAGAGCGTAGCAGCACAGTAAGAAGAAATTGTCCAATGTCAGCGGGTTTTCCAACGCCTTCGAACTAGTGTAGCATACACATACACCAACTGTATTGAAATATATGAATTTTACTATGGATTATAAATAGTCACCTCCGCCGGCGTTTAAAATGCTTTTATTGTTCCTTTTGCTTATTTGTTGTTTCAGCAGTAAAGTAGGTTAAACGTTGCCAATTTTCTGACTTTAGCACTCTTGATCCCGTTATTTAGTTTCGTTCATAAGTACAGCATTAATTCCTGTTGAGCATTAATTCTCTGAAAAATACACAGAAAGAGATGGGATGGTGAGTAATATCTACTTAAGCCAATTCATTAGGAATTTTCAGAACAGAAAGTATTACAATTCAACCGATTGTTTCCTAGTTAGTCTACATTTTATTGGCTTAACAATTTAGTTGGTGCTATTACAAAACAATTATGAAGTCAAAAAGCTAATATTGAGGTAAGATTTTCTCGTATTTTTGCAAGTATCTAACACTATTTTAAAGTATTTTTCTTTTGGGTTTAGTGGCTTCCCCAGAGAACCCAGCCAAGATTTGTTACACATTTTTACAAACACATATGCATTATACCCACTTTTTGTTCGGCAACACCTCTAATAGTTTGCGCTCTTKCTCTTTCACACACCAATCACCAGGTCTTTCGCACGCAAACACAATCAGCTCTGTTCGCCTTCGTCCTTTCAGTACATTGAAGTACACTTTTAATGGCTTCTATGCAGCGTTGCGGACACATTACAACATTATGAGGCACAGGGGTAGGTTGGTATATATGCATGTGTGAGTAACATTGCCGTGTACTTGTATACACAAACGTGATATGCAATATTTGCAGTGGTAACTTTCCTTACTCCTATTGTGAGATTTAAATATCGTAATCATCTCAAATCTATCTTACTCAATGGTAGATAAGAAGATAATAGGTAATAGATAATTGTAATGAACTTCTTCGGTGTTTTATTTTATAAGCTTTAAGAAACGGTTAAATATTTTCACTAAACTATCCGAAAAGTAGTAGATACCATTTGCTCTTTTTTCCAGTTATTAAACGTTAYATGCCAGAGAAATATTTTATCTACTGTTGCCTCAATCGTCGATGGATGATAAATTATTAACAATGACATTATATTAAATAATTATTTCCCGGCAACATACTTTCGTCTAATCTCAGTTCARTCGGATCTGAGGGCTTGGAGGAAACCTAATTAGGATAAGAGTTAAATGAAAAATGAATGTTATATAAATAAGCTGGTTTAGTTGCTTTAAAATAACATAGAGCCTTATATTATGCTTATTTTCCAATTCAAAAAAAAGCTAGGCAAAGCATTTTCATACATTGTATGAAGTGTCTGAATTATAGTTGCCAAGATTTTTATACATTAATAGTACATATTTACTTATGTATATTTTGTAGGCCATTTAACGTATAACTGCTATATTGTATGTAAATAACTGTTTCAATTCGGCGACTGATAATTAAATTCACGTGTCAAGCCATTTAACACCAATGAAGCTAATGAAAAATATTTGATCACGACTATCTTTGAATTCGTCTTTGTACATTCAAATGTACATACGTACGTACACACGTACATATGAATGAGTATGTATAAGAAAAATGAGCGTAAATGAATGGTTAAAATGTTAATGTATCTTCATTTCTATTGCACTGTAATAATTACAGTGATCTCTATTTGACAAAATAAAAAATAAATAAATATGTTGTTCAGTCTTTAATTATAAGACGTATAATATTTTTAATTTTGAACAGTTGATTATGAAAATTATGAAATTGGGACAGAACCTTTGAAACGTACCGTTTGGCCTAAATATTTGGAAAAATAAACATTTTCGATTGGATGGGATTCCATCTTAAAACAATAATGTTGTTTACAAACCAAAATTTGTTATCCAGACTCTGAATTTTATAAAAAATTATAAAGTGTTATGAAGATCTCAAAATAATTTAAAAAATTTATTAGTATGGTAAATTTAATATTTATTACAGTTCTTCCAAAATATTAGCCTGATTCACAAATTATTCTTGTGTCAGAACCTTTAACACCGACCGATTAACAGACAATTATAAATGTACATATACAGAAACGAAAAGATATTCATGTATTTGGTAGACACATACTCATCTATATATGTGCATATGTATTTGTTCGTATTCTCGAAATACTTTAGGAGTATTTACTTGGTGCGCGGTTCGCACAACATAAGCACCTATTCATTCTTTTGTTAAAAAGTCGGAACAACGGAGCGATCGCGAAATTACAATTTCCTCAGTATCTTATTGTGGCAAGTTCACTCCGGTAGTTAAAGCCGGTTTGTTGTTTACAAACATCGAAGCTGCGCATTCCATTAATAAAGATCATTTACCCCAGAGTCGGCAAAATAAAATGCATGTATGTATGTACATATGTAGGTATATGGGTTAGAAACATGACTACGGACAAATATATTTCTTCATATATGCACACATAAAATACATATGTATGTATGTGCATAGTGATTCAGCATTATACCGTTGAGAAGTCAACAGATTTCCCAAGAGCTTCGCTACTGAGTTTCATTTAATTTGTATAAAATGTTTTATATAGGGTGGCTTTCTGAGCGCAGTCATAGTCGTATTATCTAAAATAACGACAGATATTCTCGGCTATCGATAGGGTCACTTTCATTTTAGTTTTAGTGCCAAGTTTTATTATACCTGATAAGTGGATAAAACAATATTGTATTATTTGTTTAATATCATTTCATATTTTCATGTACATCTATGTACAATGGGTGTAGGGAAGGGTAGGGAATATTATTATAAGACAAAAGGAAGTAGCTAAGGAGTAACTAAGAATTCGGAATCACGGCCGAACTAAAATCGGTCTTGAGTATAGAAATGACAAAAATTAATCATTGAATCAACGACACTTCCGTAAGTAAGTAAAAATAATACAATAAAACTGAAACGCTTAGTTCAAAATTAAGGGTATACATGCTAGATGCGTTTACTTTTGCCGAGTTTTTCCTCCAATTTATGTTGTTTTATAAAAAGTATTTTGGGAAGATTTGTAAGTTGTCTGTTAAAGCTTGAGCCCTAATGTAAATTTAAAAGTTGTAAATGTAAAAAAATAATTATTTTGATGCGAAATTCCGAAAGTTGGGAAAAATAATACGCATTGTAAACCATCGATACATGGAAAAYATTTTAGTTTGCCCACCTTAATGATACAAACACAATTGGCTTGGGTCCCTARTACATATTTCCGTCAAAGCATAGATGTTGCGAAGGTAATACTGAAAACAATGCAGAGAACAGGTAATCTTTGCAACATAGACCGCTCTCGCAAACCGAAAATCGCATGAAGGTTATTGCCGCATGATAAGTTTGTATGCCGGTTAGTTATTGTTGTTAAACATTGCGCGAGTGGCAAGGTTATAAAGCAGATATATTCGTGGAACGTGAAAAACAGAATGCACATGCGGATACGAACGTTGCCAGGCATTGTACCCGCGTGTGCGCTCAAATGCGACCGCCAACAATAAATGAACAGTTGACTTTTGCCTCCGACCGAGCATAGTTTTGTTTTTATTCCTCCATATTTTAGGCAGTTCCTCTTTGAACTACGTTTTTAGTTTTCGAAAATATGTTGATTGCCCGACTTTGTGTCCCTACGATAATCAACTGAATAACAAGATGTGGAAAAATTCGAAAAAGGGACGAATTGACAAAAATTTCCGTTGAAATATACATACATAGTATATCTTTGCCATGAACTTAATATTATAATGGGAGAAATAAAATTCTTTTTATATTTAAAATGATTGGGACATTATATCTATTATAAAATAACAATTACTTCAAAAAAATTTTAATTATATTAATAATGTTGGAATTAAAATCAATAATAACATACAAAAATATGTTTAATATAAATGTATCAAATGTCCTCTTAATCGGACACCCACCGTCGCAGTTTTTTATTTGGCAGCTGCCCATATRAGGGGTTTGGTAAAAGCGAGTATATTCCTAGACTAAGAAGCAGCAAATCAGAACTATATTTCTATTGAACTAATCATTAACTATTAGCTCCCGTTGAGATACCGCGAACCAGTGCAAGTCAATTTGTTTGCTATGATCATTTCACGTATTGTTCTTAAAAACAACTGTCCAAAAACCAAACAATTAATTCGAATTTAAAAAAGAAGAGTTAAGAATTTAAAAATTTTAAACGATTTCCTTGACAAATTTTATGAAATTTTGTCCGTTTATCAGAGATAATTTGAACGAAATATCGCCAAATGAGTTTTCACGTCCGGCCATTGGAACGTACTCGTGTCAAGTTATAGGAATTGCTTGTTTATTAAAATAATAGTAAAAACGTCGGTTTCATGAAATTTGTCCAGTTACGGGAAAAGCCCGGCTATGAGGACTGCCCGTAAGGTGATATTCTTATAATATAAGTATGTTTTATTGTTAGAATTGTTAACTTATTAAATATTCGTGGTTTCAATAAATATTTAAATTTCGACTGTGTTTATTAGTTTTATATATAATTTCAGTTGAAATATGTCTTTTACCTTGTAATACGAGTGTTTTAAATTTACTCCTTTAAATTGAACTCATAATATATGCGCCTGACTTGTGATAGCAACAACACAACAAAGWATACAAATTAAGTAATATGGAATTCTTTGGAATGAATCAGCTAAAACAAACTATACGTGTCGTAAGCAAACAGCTGCCAAAAACACCAATTGGTTAGTGTGAGATCAAACCTGACTCTAACATAAAAAATGTTGTATCAATATAGGAAATAAATATTTAATGATTCGGCTTGCGTTCGCAAATTAAATGAACCCGTCTGGGTCAGTTTCGATCTTGAGTGTGTATTCGACAATTCCAAAATTTAGGTTAATATACTCCATCACTAGTAAACTTTTTATATGCATACGTTTGTTTTCATCTAAAGCAAGTAATAAAATAATTTGAGCAAAGATTTTTGGAATATACAACAACAAAGGCTTAACGAAAGTGAATCGAGAGATAGAAGCAGTAAAACAATTAAATGCAGACATGATTTAAATTTTAACCTACATTGTATGAAATTATTTCATTTTGCCCTTAATGTGAATGTGAAGCTACATTTGACTTGAACAAATAAAAAAACTCAATTTTAATTACCGCACCCTAATTTTTAATAACAGATGACATTTAACACTAATTAATTATAAATAAAATAAGCTCCCTTTATGCAAGGGAGGATATTTTTACTATATTAATTTATTTGAAACAAAWTAAGCTGCTGCTGGTAAGAAAATAAAAATTGATATTTAACTGTTAGAAAACTGCCTTACAATATAAAAATGGAACTCAATCATAAAAAATTTATTTATAATTTATAACAAATTCGATAAGGTATTTAAAGGTATTTAAAATAACAAATATTTCAGTTTCAACTGATTTAGTCCTACTGGGGAGAAAAATATTTAGTTAGGCAGAAAAATAAGAGTGCTATAGCGTATATGGTACGACGGGATGCAATCATTGGACCACTTTAATATTTATTAAATGATTGATTTAGTTAGTTAGAATGTATTAACTGTATCCAAAGTTTAAGTTTAAATTTTGGCAAATCAAATTATGTATTTCGAAACATATTCACAGTTTTAGAATGGCGTCAAATAAGTATAAAAATATTTCAATTATTAACTATCGTTTAGTTAAATACACCGAACGTTTTACACACATACAATATAATACAGATACATTTTCTTGCATGACCTTCCTTAAAATTGGAAGCCACATACACAATTACACGAATTCGGCCGCCATGTTGCACACAAGCACCCGTACTGTAGTAGTGAGTGCTTATTTTCACGCACACACATATATAAGGTCCAAGAGCTCCTTTTATGCACACATGAACAACTCTAGACAGCCTGCCAGTTAGGCAGGTAAGCAAACCGTGTGGAAAAAATACCCTGTTCGTTGCCTCCGAATGACGGTGGTAGGGTTGTAAAACCTTATTAGCTAACGTTTGCTCGCTTGTCGTTGGATAGGGGAGAGCGAGAGATCTTATGGCTCAGCTATGTTTAAACGCGGTGAAATGGATTCCAGCTATGTCTGGGTAAAGCGAGTGTTTTTTAAGTTCCACATGGGTTACGTTCACTGTTATCCGTTATTTGTTATCGGTAGCTTTATCATTATTACTTTCTTCTTTTTTGGCTCCTCTGTTAAGATTTTAGTATACCTAAATGATGAATTAATGTTTGAGAGTCAGACAATTGTCATCATTGGCGCTTATGGATGTGACTAAATTMATTTAAAGGTAGATTTCAATTCAGTTTCCTTTTGTTCAGGTATTTATAAAGCGTTAGAAGTAATAATAATGTAGTTGTTAGTTAGTTAGTTAGTTAATTGTTTTTTGTCTCTTTATTGAGGTGTTAAAAGCAATGCAACTTTTAACAGCGACAGCAATTCGACGGTAAAAGGCATTTGCAARTATCCACCTAGGTGGTGGACTCTCTCCTGCTGTTTTGTCCCTCTTCGCTCTGGGCTCATAGAACAAAAGTGGATGAAAAGCTTTTACTWACAACGCAGGGGTGAGATAGAACTGTTGTCGCTAGACTGTTATAGCGGCAAATTGGTGTGTTTCTCACACGCGACACATATTTTTAGAATTATAGTTTTTTAAATAAGAACCAACATGAATTCCATTTGCATTTCTATGTAGTATTATATTCTAGTAATTCTTTGAAATTTCTTCAAATAATTTGCCAATTAGTCCTTGTATGTCTGTATATGTAGCTTGTAAGTATGTAGGCGAAGTGCCTATTGGAAACAAATGCAAGCAAACCATGGTATGGGGCGCGTCTGCGCAATAATCGCAGGCGTTTTTTATTGTCAGCGATTTTCGACACAATTTTTAAGTTTTTTCAGRTTTTATTTCTAATTTTCTATGTATGTGTATATACATATCATTAATACTATTCCCAAGACTGTACTTACCAAATTTTGGTATCCGTTTTATTCCGTATAAATATATTTTGTACTGCTTAAACGATTTTTTCTATTTGCAGGAAATTTTTTTAAGTACTTATTTCCAATGTTTATAAAAATTGGAATTATTTTTTAATACGATAAAATTTTTAATTACACTCGTCACAAGCTAGTAGAAAACCACACTTTACTGAACAAAGAGTTATTAGTGAGGTATCAGTATCCAACCCTGGATGAAGTGTTTCTGTAATATACACAATAGTTTCCGACGGCATTGCGCAGAATGACGCAGTGTCACTAATACTTGCCCACAGAGACCCTTTAACTTCGGCGTTTAATTAACAACTGAAGTATTATATCAAGCTGCTGTTCACCACATGTCTGACCTCGTCGCGCTCAGCCAATGGTGTGGAATCTGCTAGGTAGAGAGCGGCAACGATGAGCATAACAAATGTTACACACAACACAACTAACGTTACAAACGGTGGTAAATATTCGTTCGAATCAAATTTTTAGTCTGAATACGAATACAAAAAAAAAAAAAAAAATGAACACCAAATAGTTAACAGCAAATCAGGGCTCTAGCAGTGGTGGATAAATATTCACAGACTGTAGTCTATCCAGCTAAACTTTAGCTACATTTATCTATAGATGATTTTGCCACTATATGCACACACTTAGCACAAGATAAGAAGAGAGCAAACAAAAAATTTTGGTTTCAATGCAATAAATTAGTAAGCGATTGTCTAACTTAAAAGCGGTGGTATGTTAAGAGAAGCTGAAATATTTCTAAAAGTTATTACATTAATCAATTAACACCACCTGAGCGGGAAATTCGACATATGTATGTACATATCTCCCCTCTAACTGATAGTAATTATGTTTACTGAAGAAATCAAGGCGTCTTTTTGGCTCTATTTTACAATGCCTTCCTATTCTGTACGACTAGTGAGATCTCCGACCGTCGACTCGAATGTTGGAGATAAGTTTGTGGTACGCAACGTCATAAATGAAGCAAATTGTCAAACTTTCATAATAATGGTAAAGAATGCCTTGCCCTCATTTCCTTCATAAGGTAGCGAACGTATTTTTTGCAAACGCACTTCAAAAWACACCGCGGCGAAACGAGTATCGAGTTTTTTATTTCTACATATGCATCATTGCCGCCAGTTACTAGTTAGCGGAAGCAGGAGTAAAAATGATTGCTCTAACAATTTTTCATGCTACGTATTTTTTCTTCCAAAACTTTATGTTCATATTATAATTTAATTCAGTATTAAAAAACTAAAAGTTTTTATGAAAATTTCTACCGACTAAAGGAKATACGAGATGAGTTTAAAAGATATCGGGAATATTCGGCTCTTGAGAAAAATAGTTAATTATATGTATGTCTACATTAATGTTGTCGTCTGCAAGTCACAGTCCCCATTGTTATAGATATTATTCACTTATGCCAGAGCTTTCTCCAATTCTCAAAACGATTCTCAAACTCTTTGCGATAACTTTAGTTCTTTCAACGATTTTCATTTACGTTTTAAAGTTTTAGAAAAAAGCAAATATGGAGGCTTTGGCAYTATTATTTTTGGCCAAGAGTTTATAGACAAATTATGTGACAAATTTTTTTAACAACTGAAAAGCGATACGCTCATAAAGTAAAGTCTAACCTTATCGGCTGCCACAGAAAAAATGAGTAATGAATACAGTTGAAAATGGTATGGGTATGGAGGACATATCTGTACATAATAAAAAAATGCAACTTTTTGAACTTCAAAGGCTCGTGAAATGCATAATTCTAGGATTAAAGCAAAGGTCGTATTAATAAAAATAACGAGTATTGAATTGTATCAAGCTGTTAAAGAAACCCTATCAGCACAATTCTATCTATTCAGTCTTGTACAACAAATGCGAAATAAGWACTTTTTAAAATGAATTCCAAAATGTTGACAAAATTAAGACGTTATTCTCTCTATGTTAGGTATCCATTTAGGTATATGACATGGAAGTATGTATAATTGTTTTGAGAATTGGCGAAAACGCTGGCATAAGTTATTAATATCGGATGGGGACTGTGATTTGAAGACGACAACATTAATGTCGACATATAATTAACTATTTTTCTCAAGAGACGAATATTCCTGATAGTTATTTATTCGGGTTTTTATTAAAAAATTATATCGATATTACTCTACTTAAATAAAAATTCCTTATCATTTTTTTAAGTCAAAATACGGTAAGCCTTAATTATAGTTAATTTTTGTTGTAATAGGTTCATCCATCATACATGCTTTTAGATATAAAGTATGTATGTTTACTCGTATGTTATGTATGCATCTCTGTTATGTTCATTCCTATACGTATACATGTCTGTTACTTTTAAAAGAAAAGTATTGTTTAACATTTTACAAAACCCTGTAATGTTAAGCTGTACTCTGAGCATATTAATCAAAACTAAAAATTACCACAGTTGTCAGTGTTAGGAAGGAAAAAATACTCTTAGTTTAAAGTCATCAATGTTTAATAAATGTTAGGARAAAGCACTAGAACACTGACTGCAGAAACAACATCACTGGGTAGTAATTATTAACATGGACCTTGGTGTGGCTTATTTCACTTTTTGCTTGTGTTTTGTTCTTATGGAAACCAGCAAAAACTTAAAAATCTTCGTAATACGTGCACCATGCATCCCCCAACTTTCTTTCTTCAATGGATTCATTAATCGATTTGAACTACATTTGTTCCTTGGCACCTAAAGAAGGTCTTTCAAATGGCATGGCATGACCCACCCCAGATTGGTTTAAGGGATTGATTTTCGAGAATTCGAATTATTGGATAATACACACTATAATACACATTCTATCTAATTTTGAAATCGAAATTCAAATTATTATTTCAAGACGGTGTTCACTCTCAAAGGAAGAGTTTTGSGGATTCCTAGTTCTAATTTAAAAATAAAATTTTTAACAWCATTTTATATCGCGCTATGGAAGCTTCAATTTATATTTTGAAATCTTCATCCCTTTTTCTACGAAAAACTGTCGAAAAAAAGGTATAATTCGATAATTTTTGTGCAAACAGCTGCCATTTTAACAAATTGCAATAAAAGAACAAAAGAAGCTTTCATACCCACTTTCTTACATATTATTAATCTTTTTGAAATTTTTGTTATCGACAAAAATTGCGGCCGGAATCGTGGACATAGTACAAGAACTTTTTTTTTTTACGTGTTATTTCAACAATTTATTTAACTATAATACGCCCAATAAATAAACATTTGCCATGCATGTTTTTATTTAATAAAAAAACGGATCGATTAGTTAATTTCAACATTAAAAAAATCGGGAAAATCACTGATTTTTAGGAGCGTCATCCTGAGATGATCCCTTAATGTATGTGTACCATACTATATATCATCGAAATCAATATATTATTTCAACACAATTTTCTCAGAACAAACCTTTTTAGCAACCTTTGATAGTGTGAAAATGGGTGAAATCGCATAATAGCCATTTTTKCTCGCCATGTTGTGTTGAAAAATACCTAAAGAACGATTACTTACTAATGAAATATTTCRTATGCAATGAATTTTACAAATAAGATAGTATGCAAGAGTTTTATGGGCGCTAATATAAACATTTAATATTAGGCGTGGCACCGCCCACATTTATRTGGAATCAAATATCTCAGGAWATTCTCGAAAAATTTCAAMTCAATTCGTTGCATAACATTATGTTGATATTGCTATCTTAGAGCGTTAAAATGGGCGAAATCGRAATACAACCACGCCTAGCTTCAATATAATAAAATTTGAAACTCGATCTATTTCCTTCATAACACTTATTACAAATTCAACACCAATGATGTTATAATGATAAAACTTTGTATAAATAGTACTCTTAAGATATGACATCTAACGTCTCAAAATGGTTGAAATCGAACTGTAACTTACCAAGCCCAACATTTGTAAGATTTTCGAACTTCCGTTTGGCCTTATCTCCAACATATAAACTATATTGGGTAGCCGAGAAAGTCTTTTTACATTTCTAATCAAACTTTAACTTATTTTTTATATTTATAATGAACTTTAACTAAACTTTGGTCAACCGCCTTTAGGCATTTTGCCGCTAGAGACATTATTCCATCAGTGTAAAACTTTTCTGGTTTCTCGGCGAAAAACTGCGACAAGTAATTTTCATAAGCTTCCTGACGTTTCTCCATTAAGGAAGTTCTGAATTGACCGAAACAAATGATAGTCCGATGGTGCAAGATCTGAGCTATATGGTGGATGCATCAAAACTGCCCAGCAAAGCTCTCCCAGTTTTTGTCGAGTCATCAAAGATTTGTGTGGTGTAGCGTTGTCCTGATGGAAGACGAAGCCCTTTCTGTTGATCAGTTCTGACCGTTTTTTTCGATTGCTTGCTACAGTCGCACTAGTTGTTGACAGGAAAATGTARAAACAATCGTTCGACCAGACTGGAGTAGCTCATAGCGGTGATTCCTTTCCAATCCCACCAAACACTCAGTATAACCTTTTCAGACGTCAACCTTGGTTTTTGCGACCACCGTTTTTAAATGGTTTAAAGCCGATCAACTTTTTCAACGATAGATYAACCAGAGCGAGGTGCATCTTTCTCATTGAAATTTCCAGAACGGACGAACGATTTCCGAACGATACGCCATCGTCTCCGTAAACTTCATCTTCTGTTTTGAGCAGTATTTTTTTTTTTCAACTTCCCGAAATTATTTATTTTTTGTTTAAATGAAGAAAATGGTTTGACACAATGTGATTGGTACCATTGGAGATATAAGRCTTCAACAACATCTATTGACAAAGTACAAAAAGACTTTCTCGACCCAATATTAGGAAAATTAAGTAAACTTATAACACTGGGCTTACATTAGTTGAATGCCAAACATACATTTTATACTTTGGCAACATGTTGCTACAGAGTATAATAGTTTTGCTAACGGCTGCTTGTATTACCTAAAAATTATCGAGTTAGCTATAAGGTTATATACATATATGTAAATGATCAGGATGACGAGATGAGTTGAAATCCGGTCTGTCCGGCAAAAATTGAAAAATTGATGAAATTGAAATAAAGTTGGAATTACAGTTGGGTGATCGCACCATTGCCACAAACATAAAACATCATTAATAGAAAACCAATAAAGTGTCATAACTAAGGTCTACAATGATGATTCGCATTCGTATCTGTAGTTTAAAAACATGTAAAATGTGGGAATRTCGCCCTCACTAATTGATTCAATGTATATATCTTCTAAAGGGTTTAAGCTATACCAACAGGGTAGCCGAGATGATATAAATAGCC